AGAGAGAGAGAGAGAGAGAGAGAGAGAGAGAGAGAGAGAGAGAGAGAGAGAGAGAGAGAGAGAGAGAGGCAGAGAGAGAGAGGCAGAGAGAGAGACAGAGAGGCAGGCTCTGCTCTTTCAAAAGATGCAGAGGAACGGCTCGTGAGGACTCGATCTTTGATCGGCTGATCAGCGGGCGGGCAACTCTAGTAAGGAATGCCTCCGGATAGCTACACTACAAGGAGGAGGATGGGAAGGAATGCGCGGCGCGCGAGTGTGTGTGTGTGGCTTGGAGCGAGAGAGAGAGAGAGAGGGGTGGGGGGGGGGAATCAGAGGGAGAAGACAGAGTTAAAAGGAGAGGAAAGAGAGCGAGGAGAATGAGCCATGGAATCGGGGGAAGAAGTTAGAAGCTTCGCTTCGGAAAGAGCGACGCACAAATCTCTCAACATCGACAAAGCGAAGCCCATCATGTACGAGGAAAACAAGTGGGAGGAGGAGGAGGAGGAGGAGGAGGAAAAGAAGAGTAAGATTAGCTTACTGATCGGTGAAGAAAGACGGGCAGAATGGCACGGAGAGAATGGCAATGGCAAGGATCGGGTGGCGGAAAGGGGCGAAGAGAGTTGAAAGCGGATAGGACATACCGACTCAATCCGTTTTCGGTTGAGGAGGAGAATTGCGAGAATCATGGGCCCAAGAAAGGATGGAGTATATATATATATATATGTATACATTTATACATATACATATTAGAGGTCCAGAAGGAGAAATGGAGTGAGGAGGATAAGATTCCAAGAAGACACAGGAATTGTGAATGGCGTCGGCTGCCTTCTCGTCAGCCCCCAGAGGAGGCATCGGGATGTGTGTGCTTGAGAGAGAGAGAGAGAGAGAGAGAGAGAGAGAGAGAGAGAGAGAGAGAGAGCAGGGGGCTGTAGCAAGTCGGAGAAGACTAAGCACGACAGAGGTCAGTCAATGCAAACGGCTCAAGTCGCCAAGAAGGGGGGGGGAGGTTGCAATTTTTATTTTTTTTGAGTGTGTGTGTGTGTGTGTGTGTGTGTGTGTGTGTGTGAGAGAGAGAGAGAGAGAGAGAGAGAGAGAGAGAGAGAGAGAGAGAGAGGAGGGGGTGCAGCAAGTCGGAGAAGGCTAAGCACGACAGAGGACACTCAATGCAAACGGTTCAAGTGGCGAAGAGGTGTTTTTTTTTTGCTCTTTTTATTTGTTTGTTTGTTTGTTTTGTGTGTGTGTCAGCGAGCGCAGCAAGAGGGAGAATGGGTTAGCTCAACAAAGGAGACCTGAGGCAAACGGTTCAAGTGGCGAGGAGGTGTTTTGTCTTTTTTCCTCTCTCTCTCTCTCTCTCTCTCTCTCTCACACACACACACACACACACACACACACACAAACAAACAAACAAACAAACAAGCCCGCACTCGCACACGCACACTCAGCTTCGAATCGGCACTTTTTCAGATTGGTCAGCTTTGGCAGCGTGACCACTATGCGCTCAGCTCACGGTTCCAGCGGAGTTGCCGTCTGCCACTGTGACATCGATCTCTGGCGTTGGATGTCTCAAATCTACGGCGATAGATAGTTAGAAGCGTTATTTATCTCGAGAGTATATCACCCTTCGGAGGCAAGGTGCCATAAGACGTTCCACTCGCCCGCATTTTCGACGGTCGACCTTTTTTATCTACGGGCAGAAGAGCCCGAGTGTCTGGGATCTTGGGAGGTCCCAGATACTGGTCTTTCCCCCCCCCCCCCTTTTTCGATTGCTGTTTGTTTGGGCCATTTCGAAGGGACCCCTGACCTTACTCTAGCCCCTAACCTTATTACGCATCGTTTGTCTGCATTCGCATGCATCTGACCGTAGTTACGTCCAGGGGAGAAGTAAAAAAATTGAAGTCCTAGGGTCTCGCTGCACTACTCTACTTCACGAAAATTCGGAGAGTTATGCATCGCTGCACTAACTCTACTTTAGAACCGCAAAAGAAATTCGGAGAGCTGTCAGAAACCACAAAAGAATTGCACTCTCCGACGCTGGGGAGTGCCCAGCCTGCAAAATCCGTTACTCGGATAGACCTTCGAAGGAACCACCGATTTGCTCCAAATCTGGAGAGTGAACCTTGAGTCTGGGCAGACAAACGGGGACTTTGAGCTGTCGTTTTGTACCCTCGATAGTTGTAGAGTCTGCATTTGTCGAGTTAGTGCAGCGATGACCCAAAATCCGAGAAATCAGAGAGTCTGACAACTCTCCGGGTACTCTCCGATTTCCCGGAGAGTGGAGAGTAGTGCAGCGAGTGCAGCGAGACCCCTAGTATATGGCCTTATGCGTGTCGTCCTTGACTTGAATGCGCAGTGGCCATGCTAATCTATCTTCTCTCTGTATCGTTCCCAACGGACCCTAACTTTATTGCACCTATCTGACTTGGGGTGGATTCGAACCCAAAATGGACCCATAAAAAAAATAAAAAATAAAATAAATAAATAAATAAATAAATAAAAGATGGACGCATCAACGGTGACATCTGGACCGGGTTTCCAGTTTCTGGCTAAGCTGGGTAATGGCCTCAGTATGTTCATCCTGGTTGAATTGTGAGGTCCCCCGGACCTTGTCCCAGGAACGTCGCCCGAGGACATTTCCTAAGACTTATGTCAGAAAAAGAAAAGGAAAGGAAAAAAAAAACAGTTGCGCTTCAGGCCTTCAGCCAATAGGGTGCCGCCACGATCCAGATTCTCAGGTGTAACGTCTATCTACCCGTGTGCCCTCTCCTCTCCGTGAAACGCAGATTCCTTGTGCCCAAGGGACCTGGGCACAAGGGAGAAATGGCTGGGAAAAATTCTAATGCCTGAGGAATTTCCTTATGAGTGTTTTCACTTTTTTTTTCGGATTGCATCCCCGAGGATAGGTGGAACGAACAATTCCTTGGGGATTTTGCGTCCCCGAGGAGTGTCTAACGACGCCCTAATTCAATTTCAAATGAGAAATGCATTTATAAATGGCACAAATACAACTGTTCTGGTTTTTCGTTTTTCACAATTGGAGTGGCATACGGGCACTTCCACAGCAGAAAATGAAGAGTTGCCAGAATCCCTTTCGTACAAAAATGGCGAACGGAAGGAGGTTCGTACAGTTTCTCTAAAAAAACGCCTTTTGGGGGAAGAAGAGGGTCGTTGAGCTAGCTGTCTCCAAAAAAGGAGACAGCTAGCTCAACGGAAAGTGGCGAGGGTAGGGGGAGTAGTATTCGAGAGAAAGGATTTACTTCTGCGTTTTGTTGTAAGGAAAAGCAAAGATAGTCTCTATTGTTGCCTTTTTTATTAAAAACGGACCGCTAGATGACTTGGACCACGTGCATCTCCGTTGTCGCGTACAGTCATGCAGCGCTGAAAACCAAACGTTGACCTAGCTCAACGGAGCTAGTGGGACAAGGTCCCCGGCCTCTTCTGAACTTCTGTTATTTGTAATAAAGGTGACCAACTTCTTGAGGGGGGGAAGAAAAAAAAAAACGGTGACATCTCAGGGCATATTCACACTGGTGAGATTGTTCACGACCACAATAACGCTCATAGATAAGCAAGACAACCATTGGTCCACAGGGACCTATATCAATCAGACGACTCATGCAAAACTCACGACACGACGTACAAGCAATTCAAACACCCCGAGTCAAACCAGAACATGCCATGCATCGAAACGGACGACAAGCAAGATAGAGGAGGAAGACAAAGACAACGACGCGACAGATCCTGAACGTGACAAATAGCCACGAATATGAATTAAGAGTGAAGCACATGGCTACGGAGCTTGGTCCGAAAACGGGCAACATGCCCATAGATCGAGAAAGTCGCCAAGCAATCGGCAGATGACCCGACTAGTTTCGTCCGATCTCCGTATCAGAGCTCTTCAGGGGTCTGTATCACATGAAATTAACGCGTCAACACAACAATACATAGAAACTACAGACCCAACTAGACTCTTAGACGAATAATAGAACAGACCGCCGAACAGTACCTGGTCAGAGAAGAGCCTAGAATCAGCTATGAACAGCCTAATGCCAGAAACAAGCCCGGAATCAGCCCAGACCTACCCGATTGAAAGCACCGAACCGGACCTCACAAGTGTCCCAAACCAGCACCAGATCGAAGACACCGAACCGGACCTCACAAGTGCCCCAAACCGGTGCCCCCCCGCTTGAGACACAACCAGATCGAATGCGCCGAACCCGACCTCACCAATGCCCCAAACCGGTACCCCCAGTCTGAGACACAATTGTACCCTGATAAAAAACATCCCAAACCAATATCCTGGTTCAAGGTTCGACCACAACCTTCCACGTAAAGGCATCAGACAACCTTTTACCACTCCAGCTTATCTAATATACAACATCACGTTCAGAACAAATTTAACACGGTTAACCTCACCTCCATTCAATCAACCCTCCAAATGCTTACTGCCCAAATCCCTAAAAGTTCACATTCAACCTCACATCCAATCAACCTACCAAACTGTCTACTGCCCAAATCCCTACCTCCATCCAGTTAGGCAGTCAACTCATCCATCCATCCCGAATCCCCCCAAATTTCGTAGAAAAGTTAAGAAGTGCCTGATTAAAGATCGGATCGTAAAAAACCCGCAATTTGAGCTCCACTTTCAGAGTGAGCAGGAATGTCGTCTCTGCCCTAGGTCACAAGCGGTTATCGGGTAACTGAAAATTCAGGAATGAAAATTTTGAAGTGAGAGTTTTGGGCAGTCTACAAATCTTGAATGGTCCTGAAGCGGTGAAAGGTCCGAAGACCCTGAAAACCACCTGTTTAGGCAGGCTGCATCCTG